GAGTTAACACGTCAAAAGATACATTGGTAACAAGTAAACAATGGAAGCCTTGGTACGGTAGGAACAAAGTCGTCGGCAGGTAAAAATGCACGTGCTTGTTCTACGTCTCATTCAAAATTGTGCAAAGCTCTTTAAAAAGCGTATTGTAACTGATTAAAACAAAATGGACTTAAATGTCACTACAGTTAGACGGACACGTCTACTCTTGGAAAGTCAAACCACTTATTATATGGGAGAGGTTTTGATGTTCATAAAAGCCCAGGGAGTTGACTAAAGTAAGGAGCGCACAAGGAAATTTGACATGTAAACTCAATGTAAGCAGCTAATAAGGCTCCTCGGCAGAGCCCTCTTCAATCTCATGTTCTCTGCCATGCAAACGGACGCCTGCTGTGCCGAGTGTCCGGGGCCCCGCGTCGCCTCTAGGGCGGACGGCCAGCTCCTCAATCAGGGGCGGATGCACTTCTAGTCGCGTGTATCTACAGCCCCCCATCCACGAACTTCTCTTTCCCGACAATTGCCCTCTCAACGCCACTTCTGAAGGGGATATACAAAGGAGCATGGGCCTCTTTGCCGCGCCTGCGACAACTTCGACCTGGTCATGAACACGGAGAAAACAGTGGTTATGTAGCAACCGCCACCCAACGCTGCCTGCAATGCACCTCAAATCAACGTGAACGCTGTCCAACAGCATGCCGTGGACAACTTCACCTGTCTGTGCAGCACCCTTTTCCACAGCGTCAAAATCAAAGATGAAGTATCACATCGTATTTCCATGGTCAGCCAAGCCTTCCGTCGTCTGAAGAACACCGTCTGTAATCGTCACGAGTCCAACCTCAGCACCAAGCTCCAGATGTACAATGCGATCATTCTGCCGACAACATTATATGGAACGGAGACCTAGACGGTGTACATGAAGCATGCGCGGAGGCTCAGCCACTTCCAACTCAGCTGTCTTCGACGGGTACTAAAGCTGAGGTGGCAGGACCGGATGTAGGACATGGGCGTACTAGAACGGAGAGGAATCATCAGCACCCACGCCATAGTGAGACAATTGTAACTGTGCTGGAACGGCCACCTCGTGCGGACGGACAACGAGTGGCTGCCCAAACGACTCTTCTATGGAGATATCGCCATGGGTCCCCGCCACCAAGGAGGCCAAGTTCGTCAATACAAGGATACTCTGGAGTCCTTCCTGAAGCGTCTGCAAATAAATCCGGCCAACTTAGAGGACCTCACCCGAGACCGACCGACCTGGAGAAGGGCAGTGATGACATGCCCTGCGATCTACGAAACCAACAGCTTTGCCGTCTCAGCTGCGCCCACCCCGCAATGTCAACGCACAACCGCCTCCAACGTGTCCACGACGCCAGCGGATGCTCCAGACACCAATCGATCTTATTGGACATTTTCGGACCAATTGCCGCACCAGGACGACACCAGCTGATGCCTCTCGGTCCACCTCTACCTGGCCTTCTACGCCGACAATCAACATTAACTGCGCTCCTGAACCCAGACTGTCATCCTCCATTACCTCGACATCGGCTACGGCGGCTCCTGTGCCCACCACCACTGCACACTATTTTGACACAGCGACAAACATCAGCCGCACCACCGTCAAAACCAACGATGTGGACTCGATCCATACCTGTTCTCATTGCAATCGCACCCTCACGTCGCACATCGCCCTGGTCGGTCACTTGCGAATACATCGCACAAAGAGTTGCGAACCAGTGGCTGGAGCACCCGCATACACTCGCCGCATTTGCATCAACTGTCCACACTGTCCCCGCACTTTCGGTCACCGCATGGACCTACTAGGCCACATGCGTATCCACGACAGCGGAATTCACCACAGTCTTGACACAACTAGCATATCCTACACATTCACCATGCCCAGCGCAACCCCCACCCCCTCGCCCAGCGCGTTCACCACCATCACCGGAAGCGACTCGGACACACCCGATCTATCCTGTCCACAATGTCCCCGTACATTCACCTCATCCATCGGCCTGGTCAGTCACTTGCGAATCCGTCGCACAGAAACTGGCGAACCAGTGCCTGGAGCGCCCACATACACTCGTCGCATCAGTCTCAACTACGCTCACTGCCCTCGTACATCCACTGACCGCACGGGTCTATTAGGACACATGCGAATTCACGAAAACCTGCTGTAGACAAGCGTCGACTGCAGCACACCACCACACGCTCCCCCACCACCACCCGCACCATACAACACCATCAGCCATCACAAGCATTCAATTGCCACTCCCCATGCAAAGTGAAAGTGTGCTTCTCGACTCCTCCTCAATGTGACTCCTTAGGTGCATGTGTGGTCAGAGTGCGAGATTATCGCGGTGCGCCAAGCGCCGTGGCTTGGAAAGCTGCCGACTGACGGCCCAACTCAGTCCCCGCAGCCTTCCCAGTTTTGTGTGTTTGTGTGGAGTGGCGGAGTGGTAGGTTGAGAGCCAACCTGTCACAGCTTCCTCTTACAGTAACCTCTGGCACTCGCATGCATGTGAGATGTATGCCGCCCAGTTCCCGTTGTGTGAAATCCTGGTGCTTCTGTTGGGGGCCAGGTCGTGCATGTGGCCTGCGCAGGCAAGGTCAATAGGTGTGTCAGCCACCGCACCCATTCCCCGCACCTATCAACCGACCAGCTCTGGCAGTGACTGGGGCCTGTGAATGGGAAGGGAGAGTAAGGTAGACGACTCAGCGCACTTTCCTCGCTATAGACAATCTGACGCGCTTGAAGCCATCACGGTGCGCTAAAGGCCGTGGTTGGGAAGGTTACCAACTCACGGGATTACTAGGAACTCGCCATCCGCCCAGTGTGTGTTTAAGTAGAGCGGCCGATTGGTAGTTTGAGAGTCAGCCTGCAATGGTTCATTCTCAGTATGGGCTCTATGACACTCCCAGTTCGTGTAATCCGAGCCGGGTGGAGCGGCTTAAGCCGCGCCAGCCGTCTGCGCTCTTTCCTACCACCGGTCTTCTTGACTGTGTGATGACACCGGGCCCAGGTGGGGAGGAGAGAGTGGGGTAGATGCTTCGAAAGTCTACACTCAGGATAAAGAAATCCACGCGCAGTCCATCGTGCCTCCCCCACCTTTCCGTGGAGCACACGGTGGACATCGTCGGTAGCCACCAGCGAACTGTCATCGTCTGAACTGAATTATGGCGCAGTTCCCCTGGCTTGAGGGTCGTAGGCCACTTTGAGGACCGCAAAGAAACTCAGCTCTCTACAGTCTGAGGAGCTTTGAATTTCTTGTCTTGTTAAATTTCCGGGAAAACTAATGCGTGAATTTCGAGTAAATCCTTCAGAGAAAAGTTTTAAGATTCAGTTCAAAAGTTTACACGTGAATATTTGAGCTGAAATTAATCAATTACTACAGAATAACCGCGTAATATCCACAGCTGCCAAAAGGCAGTCAGTAATATACAAATACTGACAGCCGTCAGTCTCTACTCTGCCAGACTTCTGCATCAGAGGAATGCGGCTTTGACTATGCCGGGTCTACCGGTCGTATCTAGCCTGCTTTCTTCGATGTCAAGTCGCTAGATATGCTGTTTAACTGACAGGCTTTTCGTGACAGAGGTCAAGATAGTGGCCAACGAGAAGTCTCATATGGACGCCAGGACGGCTTCGTAGCCTACATAAATTTGATTATTTTCGAGGACCAACAATATTTACAATCTGCGTTAGCAATATTGTCTCCATGAAGCGCAGTCGACAATGTCTCCTTCCCATGTAGGTTCAAAACGCACAAGTTATGTGTTTTGCAGTAGCAAGTAAATAAAATCACTTGAATTCACATTAAAACTCCGGTCAAGCCAACCGCACTTCTTGTTAAAATTGCTCAACCCAACAAGTATTTTTGAGCTCACTTACCAATGCAGAAACAGTGTATATTTTCGAGGGGATAATCCACACGAAGACTTCACTTTCTCAGTTAGTTTGGCAAGGGATTCACGATGACGCTTAATGAAAATTATGCTAAAGAGGGCCAGATATTACTCCGCATTTTTAGTCTAAATCCAGAAGTTATTTCACAGTGACAAGTATATAAGATGTGTTTTTAGCGTAAATTATTGTCATGGGGGTAAGCAGCTTCAGAATCTAACACGTTTTGGTCAACAGTATCAGACATTTGGCTAGAAAACACCGGGGAAGACCTGAAGACGTTTTGAAAATGTTTAGGTGTCGATTCTTCACTATCACTTACATTCCCACATTTGTGAAACAGTGTCGTCCCAGATTACAGCCCAAAGAGGCTAAAATTACCGGTAGAATTGGTGGTTTCCATTGATTGCACTGGGCTGGGCGAGTAATCCAGATGTGGGAAAATCGGGCTGTCCGCTGCAGCCACATGAGGCAGATGGTTAAACGGCCGAAACTCTCGCTAGAGTGGATAATCGCGTGAGCTGCGAGTTGCTTGAGTCATGGTTCACGGGACCTCAATCTATCAACAAGTGCAACGACATCCCCACTCCATATTCCTTGCTGAGGCATAGGCTGACCAAAGAAATTTACCACTCGGGGAGCGCGCAAGCCGGTTAGCCAGATGGCCGAGCAATCATCATGCCAGCATCCAACACGGGTGATGAGATTTCAGCAATTAACAAATTGCATACCGGCCATCAAGAAATTAGCGCACCAACGAGCAGCAATTCTTGATGAAGGGGAGCGCGGCTAATTAATATAGGTAGGCGGTAGCCTAGAGGCTGCATCCTCTAAGTACTGCAACTTCTTGCGCGCGAATCACCCGTTTCTGCCACTGTCTCTGATGACGGGTTCAAGTGAGAATCCGAAACGTCAGGCGAATGAAGCCCTTGTTCCAGCGATCACTTCTTCTTCTTCTTCTTCTTCTTCTTCTTCTTCTTCTTCTTCTTCCTCTTCTTCTTATAAACCAGGGATTTAAATCCGCAACAGCCACTGCTACTTTTATAAAAGCAGCTCGCAGTTACCCCTATTACTACTATTTCAGCTGCAAAAACCAGCTACTTTAATAATCATCATCATCATCATCATCATCATCATCATCATCATCATCATCATCATCATCATCATCATCATCATCATCATCATCATCATCATCATCATCATCATCATCATCACCACCACCACCACCACCATCATCATCATCACCACAAAGACGACCACCACTAGAAATATCGTCACGCTGATGCGCAGGACTATCCTCCAGCCCCAAAATCAACCACATGGTCCTTACCAGTGACAACTCTATGGTCATCCGTAGCGACGGCGGCGGCAATGGTGCAAGTAACAGCACTTACGACATCATTTTCATCAGAACAGGTGTGACTTTGTAACCAAGAGTTTGTTTTAGCGCACACACACTCACGTGCACATGTCGAGCTCGTGCGTCGAGTTCAAGGTCCCTCGAGGGCACACGTGAGAGGGTGAAACGCGTGCTGCTGTTGACACCGTTTTCAGTGTTGGGGCGGCGACGGCGGTTGCATAAGAATGTGCAGGTAGACACCACGCATTTGTGGCCTTCTACATTCACCTATTTGCAACAAGGTCGCATACTACTTCACGGTCATTTTGAAATGGCGAGTCTGCGAGCATCGCATGAGAGCGTTCATCAGAGATGTCAGCTGTAGGTATGCACCACTGCGCACCGTGTCAACTAATTTAAGCCATGGTGAAAAGTAAAGATTATTTGCAGTTAGACGGAGATAAGAAGCAGTCCGTTAATGCAAGTAATTGAGTGAAGAAAATATCTCAAATGTGACAGCGTTCAGCGTGTCACCGATAGATAATCTTCAATACAAATATTCTTCAGGAACTGCTTGATGCCTGGTCATGTGTTTCAAAGCGTTGGCAGGGAATTCGATGTGATTTTTCCGTTTTGCGTTTTTCAAGATGTGGTTGACCAAGGCGAAGGTATTGCTGCTTTTTTGAAAATAGAGATCTCACAGAATTAATTTTTTTTCATAAGATCACATGCCGAGAAACCGGACTGGGACTTAAAAGATTGCAATATAACTAGCTGCGGCAATGCCGAGTGTACTTTTTTCCCGTTTATTAGATAAATCTTTCTTCCATAAAATTGTCGTGTGGTTTTTGAAGACGATGGAGTCGGTTGAGTTTCTGGAAAGCCTTGAAACACCCGTGAATGCGTGCAGCTTTCAATACTCTTAGTCACTTGCCTAGGAGGATGGGTTATATCGTTTTTGTCGATCAAAACCTTCAAAATAAAACAACTCTTTGAAGTACTTGCCAATTAATGAGACATAGGACGTTCTTATGTATGCAAACGGCGTTTCGGCCATACTCATAGACTTATTCGAGCGCGAAAACTAGTCAGCAGAGAAAGTAGTCCTCCATGACGGAGGCCTGAAACAAATATGCTCTCGACCAAAGGCCTTTTTGGGGTGCTTCACTGTTGAATACCGAACGTTGCACATTACTTAGCACTCCCTACTGAGTTTTGCGAAAGTAGTGCTGTTTAACTTCGGCAACCTTCAGCAGCTGTCCATTATACGCTAGGTTGAAGACTGCTTTTCGACATCCGCATCCTTTTCAAGAGGCAGTTATTGAGATTCGTGTTCTAGGCGGTAGAAAGCTGTGGTCTAGGGAAATTTTTGGCGACAACCGGATACGCGTCGCCACCTAGTCTTAAACCCTGTGGAATACCTACTTATGTCATTTGGGGAGGCCTAATTTAACTCCTCTTCCCTCTTACGGTTTCCCCGTCACGCCTCTCCCAAAAGTTGTCATTATATTTAGCGTTCGGTTCAGGGGTTATGGGTTAAGGTTAGTGTTAGAGGTTCGGCTGGGAACTAGGATCAGGCTTTAAACACAGGTTTAGAGTTACTGGATCTGGGCTTAGGCCACCAGCGTTGTCAAATTCAATTATAACCTCAGTCGCGACCATCACGAGTCGAATTCAACAATATGTTCTTCACACTTTCCCCTTCAATGTGACTGGCCACCTCGGGCTGGAAGCAGTTCATCTGGAACACCTAACTAGTGCCACCGGTTTTCATCTTTCCGCCTGTTGAAAGCCCCTAATCTCCATTACATCAAACTATGCACTCGAGTTCTTGCACTTTTTCTGTGCATTTAAACGGTCAGATGTCGTTATGTAGCCCCAGCTGAAGCAAACGAACCCCAGCCATCTGCAATAAGGGACCGGTGGTAATAGGGGTTTTTACAGATGGGACGAGGGAACGCATGGGCAGCGAGGTCAAGTTGTTGTGTGCAGAAGAAAAGTTGTTGGGAATGCGCGGTTGTACTTTGAATGGATGATAAATAGTTGCCTTAACTCCTACCCCTAACCCTGACCTATAACCATAGCCATAACCCTAGCCACAACCCCAACAGTATTGTGTCAATTAGGTAGGGCTACATAACCACATCTTACCATTTAAACAAGCTAAGGACTTAGATGTGTGTTTATACTTTCGCTTCTCGAAGACAGCTGTCAGGTTCGTTTAGCCCTCCCAAAAAACTCTATTGCTACCATTCCCGCCCTTGCCTCCTGTTTTCTCGGTGGGGCTACACACCCGAGGTACGTTCAGGAGATCTGAGGCATTCTTGCTCCGAGGAGGTCTCCAAGATCATATACAGAATTCGACCTTAGAGAAGAGAAACTGATGATCAGTTGACCACTTGACAGTTCGCATTACTATTGGCAACAGCATATGTCGGCAATTCCCTCTTCGGGCAGTTTTATAGCCTAGCAGTCACCTGTGTGACGGTCATGGATATCAGATCAGTTGTAACCAGGCACAACAAGTTCCGTCCCATCTAAGAGTAGAAGTTCGAGAGTTATGAGAGTTAGTATATGTCTTCTATGCGCAGAACAGGTTGCTGTGAATTGACTCTTCGCTTGTGAGCCAGAATAAGGCTTCCACCTGGGAGCATGCGAGCCGAGCTGTGCTGCGCGCCTGTCTCCACCATGGTCGCGTCAGCACGAGAGTGCGATTGGCTGAGTCACTCGTGTGTTGAACCTGTGATTGGTTGGCTCGTGAACTGCGCCGGGGGCTCATGAGCACGAGGCACCAAGTAAGACGAGCATTGCTGGCTGGAGCGCCTGCTAGTGCGCGCTGCCCTGCTCAGTGCGGCTGTACAAGGGGAGCCTCGTGTATCGTCCGATTAGTGGTCGGAGGCTAGTGGCCGGATTGCAGGTGAGCTCGGTTGTATGTGAGGGTGCAGACAGTGAGCCAGGAGCCGGGGCATTGGAGTGGCCACTACAGTTGTGCTCGGTGCGGATCCTTTATAGGAGCATTCCGTTGCTTCGGAAGACGCCTACGACACGAATGACCGAACACCCCCCCCTCAGGCGGTGATTTTTCTCCCTCGAGCACCGAACTCTCAGAGAGCAATCGGCTTATCTGTTTCTAACACAGAGAAGAGGATGGAATGCAGATGTTTGTCAAATTTGTCCTTCGCCACGTGCTGGTTAGTCATTTTTGGGACATGGGCACTAATAAGGGTGGCAAAATGTTTACAACGAAGTGGTGGCTTCACTGTCATAAACTGGCCTTTTATCCTCTACGGGGAGTTGGGCAAGCCTTTGATGACATCAATTCCAGTGATAAAGGGTGATCAAGGAATCGCGTTGTTCTTCAGTGTGGCGGCTTCCCCAGAAGAAAGAATATTATATTCCAGTTTTCTACGGTTGTGCTTATTTCGAAGAACATGTCTCCCAGAGAGTAGCCATGCTCACGCTGAAATTGACGAAGTCTTGGGCGACGAAGGTTTCCTTCTAGTCGATTGGCTGTGGTCTTATCTAAAGAGAACAAACGTTACAGGCTTGTGAAAGTTGGATGGTTGACAACTTGAAGGTCCCCAAATCAGAATTTCAGGAGGAAAGTTAGATGAATAGAGCTTACTGAAGCCATGTAGTATACACAAGGCGCAGCAAGCAATAGCATCCAGCGTTATCACCAGGCTAGTGACAGTCGAACTGTGCGCGCCTGAACCTCGCCCGAAAGCCACCAACCAGTAAAGAGGGGAATGTCGATCGGCGTCATGGCGCAGTAAGCCGGAGATCGCGTCAGGTGCGTTAAGCGGACCGGAGGCAACACGGGTTAGCGGCGGCAATGACGGCTGTGAGAGAGGGCGGCTACAGATTGTCAGAGTGAGCGAGGTCGCCAAGGTGGGAGGGTACGGGGACGGGTTTCGTTATTCCACTTGCGATTTGAACCACACTTCTGACCTCCTCCACCAACAGCCAACTTACTGACGTGGCAACCAGTTGACAATAGAGGCAAAGAGACGAGTTCCAGGAAGCAGTCGTGAAGGAGAAGACACGATCGCTGGAACAAGAGCTTTATTCGCCTGACGTTCCGGACTCCTGCCCAAACCCATCATCAGAGACAATAGCAGATACGGGTAGCCCACGCACAAGGGGCTGCAGTATGTATAGGATGCAGTCACCATGCGACCGCTGAGTGTGAAGAGAATCATTTTGCAAAGCGTTCAGTGAAAAAACGTGCAGGTAAGTACCAGGCGCATGAATATCTTGCCTCAACGTGCATTTTGCAATGAAAATTAGTTCAAAGCGCATCAACTTCAGCCGCATATGTGCACACCGCATCATATGTTGATGACAAATAGCATTCTTAGTAGCATATGCGTGCACGGAAGTCATATCACCGTATAGGCATGCGGCCGCATCCTATGAAGACTGAAGCCCCTTGTGCATGAACTAACCCTTTCTGCTATTGTCTCTGGTGATGAACTCGAGCGGAAATCCGAAACATCAGGCGAATAAAGCTCTTGCTCCAGCGATCGTGTCACCTTCTTCACGTGGTAGCCAGTATTTCAGGGTATATTTTATAGTTCCTTACCCTAAAATGGGGCATGGAGGTCCTAAATAAATAGGTCTCTTTAGATGCCTAGGCGCCTTTCGAAGTTCACTATGGCTCACTACCAACGTTGGATGGTAAATTTATCTGATTTGGCCAGGGTCGCCGAAGGGATTGCATGTCGTCCCCTCCGCAGGACTTGGAAAGTTAGGGGTAGGAGAACATTAATGTTTGGGACGGCGGATGGTGAAAATAACACCGACAGGAAACTTGCGGCAGTCCGCGCCTCCTGGCCCTCCGCTGCTTTGTCACACTGCCCTCCTGTCTGCCTCACACTCCCTGTCGGTTCACTGCTGGGATGCGCGAGGCTTGTCCCTACCCTCGCGAGTGCTCGAGGCCAATCAACACTGCCCCTCCCCTGATTGGCTGGCGGACACTG